TCTTCACCAAAAAGTGTTTCCTTTAGGCGTGGAAGGCTACAGATGGCACAAGTTATCTCCCTTGCAGCAGTTAAACCTTTGTAGAGGGCTTATTGTGCATTCCACAAAGTCTAAGAAGCGGTGAATCACATTCCACAAGTGGAAGCAATTGGTAGAGACGTAAGCATTGCTTTTAAATTTGCAGCAACTTCGCCATTGTTATGCATTTTAGCTTTTAGGAATAAAAATAGCCTACACATTAGCATTTGAACCAACGATGCAACCAATGTTGGACTCACCTCTGTGACATTAAATGCATGACAGCGCTTTTTTTTTTTTCAATAAAATTCATCCCATTGTCAAATCTGTCAAAGAATGTTGACTCACTACAACTTTTTTTACCGCCTTTACATTCCATATCCTCCTTAGCTGCAGTAAAAAGCCGCTCCTCAGGGAAAGAGTTTAAGAGATGAGCATACATTTTCATCCCTACAGAGGGGACTGCATTTGACAGTTCAGTATTGAAGCACGATGGATTGGCGCTTCTGCCAGCACTCACTGAAAGTGCAAACCGTCTAGCCATGGACTGTGTGAACTTCTCACCCTCAATTTGATCAGCTCTACAATCCGTCCACTATGGCCTGACTGTATGCTAACGGAAAACTGGGTCTATAGAGCTTTAAGTAATCAGATCTGTTCTACACTCTTCAGCTTAGGAGACACATTCTTCCTCATCCTCCTCCTCCTCCGTTAAAACCAGACGCAGACCCCACGGTGCTCAGAACTTATGCAAAAATCGTTGATTTTCCATTGCCTAGGCAATTTGAGTAAGTTCTTGAGGATAGGGTTTTGGTTACCTGAGAGGTTGTGCGTAAAAGAGAACCGACTCACCATCCAGTTAAGGACAAGGCGATGAACAAAAGACATGTTATTTGGTGTATGTGTAAACACACCTGCAGCTCTACTATTTTTCGGTTGACGAACTTCATGGTCGAAAGACTGTGCTCCGCTCCGCGTGGCAACAGCCAAACTTTCCTTGCCTTACCGATTTGAGGAAGAGCGTGCAGTGTGAAGAATCTGCGTGTGTGAGTGAATGGGGTGTGTAAGGTAGGGACGAGGCGGGTTAAAGTGTTACGCAAATCACTCACTCACTCACTCAATTAGTGACGTGCGGCTTGTCTATTTTAATCGTAACTGCTTCAAAGCTTTTGCTGGCACATGACACCGCCTTATCATAACTTTGGAGCAAGCAAGCAAGGAGGAAGTTCTTTGTATCCTTCTGCATAACACTCCTGATAGGCAAAGTTGTGGCAGCTGGGAGATTGAGACCCGAGCAACATTTGACTAAGTTAATGAGGAGCATTAAATAGAGCCAAATGCACATTCACCCTCATGCAATGGCATACCACTTTCATTGCCTCTCTGCCATTCGACTACGTCGCGGCTTGTGTACACCTCCTCTTTATCATCACTGATCCCTCAGGCAAGAGCAGAAACAGAGTTGCAGTTGTCACATACGTAAGCATAATATGGCATTAGAAAACGTCTGAGCTCAGGTGATTGGCGCGTAGGGTTGAAGAGAGAGGAAGGAATAATGAAGTTCTGCAGCACATACATCTGTGCAATTGCAAGGCATCGGAGATGCATTACGTAGAGGAGCCAACACTACCCCTCCTCGAGTCACACAACAATGCGTCTTCACTTCTTAGTGTGTTAGTGATAGACTGCGCAAATCCGTATCGTAGAGGTATCAAGCATCACCTTGTCAATGACGACCAGCAGAAGCGATCATCAGTGCGTTCAGCCCCGGTGCGAAGCGTGGCTCAACACACCCAGTGATGCTGTTTGACTCTCACTGCCTTTACAAGAGAAGGAAGCTAAAGAGGCCACCGTCGCTAAGGCCATCGCAGCGTAGTCCCTAGCTTACTACTACAACACTGACTCTCTACTTTGGCTGTCGTGGATGTGGTTGGAAATATGTTTCCATTGTGGCTCATTTGAAGCTGACTGCTGCTTTCTCATCGTCTTCATCATTAGCTGACACAAAACGTCATCCATTGTAAAACCATTCGTCAAATCTTCTCTCCAACATCTTTTTTCATTCTTTAACACTTTAACACTTTTTTTTAAAAACTTGCGATTTTATCAACAAAGTTTCGGCAGTTCAGATGTAATTGAAAACATTAAGTAAGACAAGAAAGCAAGAAGAACTACAAACTCAACTACATTGTCGCTGTTAATATGTGCACGCCATTGAGTTGGTGGAGAGGCAAGGCTCAGCACTTCCCAACTCTCCATCCATCTTCAGCGCTCCAACACACAGGACATCGTGAAGCGTCCATCATCGTGTCTTCACGTCCACTTCATCATTCATCGGTGCCTCACAACTTTCCGCCGAAACCATTTCACACAGCTAAGTTTAAACAAACCACAAATTACAATGTGTGTATTGCTGGTGGGTGCTTCAAACAGGTGGCGGTAAGGTGTGTCGGCAGTGCGTTCAACAAATACAAATCCACTGATGTGAATGGCGAAGATTTCTATGGGACTGCACATCTCACTTCCGCCTACGTTATAAGGAACCACCCAATGAGGGCGTTCTGTGTTGCGTATTTAAGAAGGAAAATGTGTGAAGACCGCATGGCTTGAAGGAGGCGAAAATGAGAAGCTTCACGACCTGTTTGGTGGCGATTCTGATGTTGAATGCTGTTTTACTGCATGCCATTGTTTTAAAAAATCAACCACCGCAAAATGAGACCAGCGGTAACCAAACTGATGCAGAGTCTGATAATAATCAAGTTGAACAGGAACAGTCAAAAACAACAACATCTCCAGCTTCTACGCTTTGCCTCACCCTCCATTTACTACTTTCCACACTTCTCATTTCTCTACTCAGCTAAGCATGATTAACACTCTTTAATTCCTCACTATTTTCTTTTAAGTTGGCGTTGTCTTTTGTTTCGGTCATATTCCAATATTAGTCTTCTTAAGTACTCATTTGACTTTTGCTATGGCGGGCAATGGATTGTGGCTTTGTATTACCACCCCGAGTGCTGCCGTCTGACCTAGGCATAGCGATTCGTAAGTGAAATCTGTCACCACATTCCTCATAATCCTTCTGCCCTAAACATTTCCATCTGTTCTCGACTCGTTTTAATCTAAATCATACATGTGATTTGTGGGGCAGATTTTAGTCAGCGATAATGGAAAACATATCAAGCAGAAATTGAGGTTTTGAGTGTCTTGGATGCGCCTCGACTGCTACTTTAATGGCTTTGATAACTCACTGGTGTGGAGAACATTGTGCTCCTTATTGAGCATGGAGATTCAAAGCATCAACATCAGACTATTCTACTCCTTAAGGCAAGGTAAGGTCGAAAGTCTTCCGTAGCCCTACGAAGCGTCTGATTTTCACCACTCGAGCAGACTCGCATAGATTTCATATAACTCTAGATCCAAAGCAACCTGCAAGGAAGGAAAGGCTACTCCCTTCCCTTAATGAAACTCAATGACAAGCATGGCTGTCTTGAGGTGTTTCCTTGCGTCTTCGAATATGTTGCGATGGCTGGCGCGGAAGGTTTGCCGAGGAGTGTGCACAAGACGTCGGTCAAGAGGTGAGAGAAATTATTCGACAGCTTCCCTGACTGACAGTCACCTTGGTATTCGTCTTGCTCTTGCTTGCATGGGCTGACCAGCCTGGGCAAGATCAGAGCGCAGTCCACTCACCTCCTTTCAGATTGCAAGCCTTCAGCTCACTCTTATGCCTTCTACCACCTAATAGGATGGCTCTGGAATCTACAAACAGTTTACAATAAAAAATTACACTTTTCTGCCCTTTTATAATCCTTAGCTGACAGAAACAGTCGTTTTCTCCTCTCAAGGGTGAAGGATACTTTGCCTTAATGCAACGCATGCACTGCAGAGACGCATAAAAACTCCCCTCAAGTGTTGTCACAATCCCACAACTTTCTTATAGATGTCGTTTAAATTCTGCTTCAAAAATACCTTTCGTTTTGGCACTCAAGACAGCATGATACGAAAATCAAATTCCTACAAAAAATTTTCCAAAGACTGTTTGCTAAAAATCATACAGTATGTTTTAATAAATAGATCTGATGGAGGGCAAAAGGAATCGCACTGGCATATACATTCTTTCACTTCCTATTTGCTTCCATTTTACTCTCGTTGTAGACACTTTTGCATGGCTTGTGATGTTCTGCCAAGATCACTTTGTTGTCACCACGTAATTTCTACAAAATAACTTATTAAAGTGAGACTGGGTAAGGCTTTGTCTTCTTAAATTACTAAACGTTTGCTCACAACTGAAGTTAAGCAACAACAACACACTAACAGATCGCATCATTTGACAATTCCGTAACACAAAGAAATTTTATGTCAAAAGAATGCAATACGAAAGAAGTAAGGTTTTTGAAAGGTCACTTTTTCACTATTTGACTCTTTTTATGACCGTTTAAAAATCCCATACCATCCTATGGGAGAGTCCAGCAGCTCTCGATTTAGAGTTTTACGGTCCATGCGTGGATCAGGGAAGTCTTTTGACTCAAAAGCACCCAACACCACTGCCAACAGGCGGTGCTCAGATGCTGCTGCTCCGAAAATGAACTCAATGCTTGTCAAACACCGACAGCAAGTGATACGATTAAATGCAACTCAAAGTGATTGTTCAAAAACCAAGTACTTTGTGTTTTTGTAAAAAAAAACTGTTTTTATGTTTGCAGAAATTTAGGAGATCATATTGAAAAGCAGCGCTTCTCCCAAAAACAATTGCTGGCTCGTTTTGTCCTGTCCAAATTAACTACTTTAAGCTAATTTTTCTTGTGAAAATGGAAGTATACTTTGTCGTCTCTTGAGTGTTGATGCTGGTGCGAGTCGTAGCGCTTCAGGAGAACAAAAGCCCCATCTCACGCCTCCAAGTAGTGGAAGAATGGAAAGTGCCCACCGACTATTGACAGGATTTAAAATAAACAATTGAATAGGCGCTCAAAAGCCATTTGTAAAGATTAAGCATGTGTAGTAGAGTTGAGAAGTGTGAAGATCGACAGAATCAAAAGAATGAAGGGCTTAAGTATGGATGTTTGGGATGTTGCTGCAGTTTTTTTGCTAAAGTATTCAGGTAAATGTGTGGCACTATCTTGTAAACCGCCTTTTTGTTGTTCACCACCAGTATTTTGTGTGGGTTTACTCGATTTCTGTGAGTTTGTTCCGAGCTCTTCTATAAAGTCGTCTGCATTCTGCAGTTGCTCAATTAACTTCTTTGGCTTGATGTTGGTTTCTTGAACATCCTCGTCAAAATCGTACTGAGAATCGCCTGGATCCTGTGGCATACAGTCAGGCTGAAATGCGTCATTGTTGGGGTTGTGCTGAGATCCACTTGATTCTTTTGCTTCATCGTCGTAATGCTTTTCGCCACTGTCGGGGTTAGGGTGTGGATTGCATGGTCCACATGGCTCGCATATGCACTGTTGAGGGATCTCCTTGGGTTTGTGATGCGAATGACCTGCTTCCTGTGTTTTGATGGTGTGACGCTTTGCGTCGTTGTCACAGTTTTGATGGGAATTGCATGGTTTCTGGGGATTATATTCACATTGTTGCATGCCTTCTCCAGAGTTGTGGTGTGGACGATCTGATGCCTGTCGGTCACTGTTGGGACACTGTTGGACACTGCTCTCAGGGTTGAGGTGTGGATTGCATGTCTTCTGTGGCTTACATTCGCACTGTTGCACATCCTCCTCAAATTTGTGCTGTATGTGACTCCCTTCCTGGGGTTCACCGTCGAGTTGGTGGACAACAATGCCAGGATTGTGATGTGATTTACTTGGTTCCTGTAGCATGCAACAGGACTGATGCGCCTTAGTTTCAAAGCCTTGTTGAGGAGGAATTTGCTCCTTTGATTGTTGACATAGTGCAGCTTCTGCCATCAGTAATGTCAGCAAGTAGGTTGTGACTTTTTGCATCTTTGCCTATTTTCTTTCTGATCGCCCGCATTGATACGATCTCATTCTTAAATACGTTCAGCACAACTCACCGACTGATGGTCCCTCACAATGACCCCGTTGGACGCACCTAAGGGTGAAGCATTTTTTTTTACTCCTACAAAAGAACTTTTTATCTTAACAATTGTAATGTTTCACAATAGTTTGGGCCTCTTTTGTGGAGCGACGAGAGATGAGGAAATGTCTCCTTATCAAATGCACATTCTTTGATCCATTTTTCATTAGTAACTACATTCCGACCTTCAACTTTCCATTGCTCTGTGTGCTTTTCAAAGTTTTACTCCAAATGTGATAAGGTCTTGCTTTTAAATGCTTTAAAAGGTGTCCAATTTATGCAAGAGTTAATCGAATTCGAGTTACTTTATCCAACGAAAATGCTGTTTACACACTTACAATTTGTTTCCATGTCGCTACGTTCACACACATGACATGACGACGCACGAATGATGACAAGTTTTATCCAAACTGATCGATTGACATCTGCCACTTGGTAAAGGTGGCGCTGTATGTCAAAATACAATTCGACCGCCTCTTCAAAAGGTTCTGTTTAAGCGATTGAAGGGTAGAAGTATTCATCAAACTTGACAACTTTATTATGCCATACTCCGATGCATTGACATTGTTCACTTTCCTGATACATTAGCGCCAACAGATCCCAATTGCTTTATGATGTGCTGCCCAATGTTCCTGAATATGCTTACAATTGCCAGCTGACGGCAGTAGACATTGAACCCTTCCAACCTTGCTAATCCTCCGCACTGACTTCTATCACATGCGCAATGGTTTGCTATCTTGGCTAAGAATCGCTGCAATTTAATGAAACTCAATTACTTTGGAAGAGGTGTTTGACAATACAAACCCTTTTCTGAGGCCGATAAATCACTTCACTACTTTTTGCACAATGTTCCTGCATATGAAGAGTAATTGTGATTCCAGCTTCAAACTGGAAGGTGTACTGCATCATTTTTATGGAGGTGGGCTTCTGTTTTTAGTCAGCTTCCATGCGTTTTGACTTTTGACTTGACTGACCTCAATTGTCGCCCAATGGCATTGGCTACTTGTGCTCTCCCGAAAAAAACTTATCGTTTCGTTTGTACTTCTACTTCTCATAATTTGTTTTACTTCCGTACGATTTAAAATTTTGCAAATTTCATCTGTTTTTCTTATTCCGTGGGCAGTCCTCGGTCATTTGATATTCCGATTAGCCAGCCCAAGGAATCGGATTGCCAATGTCAAAGGACTCTACTTTTAAGAAGAAGCTCATGGGCACAGAGACAGTCTTTGAGTGATGTCGGAATGGTCAGAGGAGACTACTCTTGCCTTTGCTCTTTACTAATGCACTTTTAGCGCCTCTGGCTCCCTCACTATCGCAACACCTTGGTGACCGCAAATTCGCTTCCATTTGACCGTACCTAAGTGACCTTTCGTAAATAGCTTACTCGCCGCCAAAAATGCTGGTTCTTAAGGCTACTGTGGATCTAATAACAATTATCCTTTGCTTAAGCGCCTAGACAAGTTAGTGTGTCTGTACCATCACTCGTACTACCAGCTTGTTACAGTGCCAAGTATTTTTAAAACGTCAAATATTTTGTGTTGCATTCAATGTTTTGATATGGCAACTAAAATAAGTAGATATAAACAACTTTTTATTCGCCGCTTAAGCGAAACTCACTAATTAAAGCAACTTGCTATCTACTTAATTTGGTTTAACAGTAGCGTGTGCATTCGAGAGTTGACTTAAGCACAGTAAAAATGAAAGTGCAACATCTACCACCATTATATGTGAGATAATGGTAAGTTAAGTCGGCATTAAAAAAAACCTCAACAAATTTTCATTCACCATTGCGAAATGCACTCTTACTCTCCGCCCTGTTTGTGGAAAATTAAACTCCTGACTACTTTGCCAGCAGCATAAACAATACACCTGTTAAAATTGGCATTTCATCTGGTATCTGCAATTAAAGGCACCACGGGGAATGGCTCAACCATTTAAATGGGGAAAAGCTATCTCGTGTTAGCATTCCCATCGCTGTAAATTGGTAGGGCAAGCGCCCGAGTCCCTATGAAATAGCTGGGCGTTCGAATTGTAATTCTCAATTTCTTCATAAGGACTCAGTTACAGGATTCTCTCATTTATTTTATCTTTCAGGCCCAAGTGAGGTAAACACCACACCCAATCACTTCTCCTCATGTCAGTTAATTAACTGCTGAAATGCTCATACATTGCACAAGCATGACGACCCGCACTTAGAAGCAAGAGTGTGGACATTGCCGCGCAAATGACGTTAGGCAAATTTATGGTAAATTAGAGCGCTTCTAACATGAATATACAAATCTGAGTAGCATTACTTAAAATAAGAATTCATTTCGCTAGTGTAAATGCATTGCTTGATGGAGGCCACAGGATGGAATGGAAGGTGCATATGACTTAAGATTTGTGACAGTTTTTGAAACGAAATTCCTTTATTGTCTGCTTGAAACAATAAAGAAATGGAAGCTTAGTGTTACAATATAGGGAATTATTGATGTTGATCTCTTAAAACCAGTTGTTTTACCCAGCTGATAATTGAAGCCCTTAAAAATGCATCTTTTATGGACGTATAAGCGTGAAGATGGATTAATTTTATTGCCACCTGAATGGACTGAATGTGATCGCAAAGTAAAATGGATGTGGTTTGCTTATGAGTTAATAAGTAGTGTATTGTCGCATATGCTAGGCTGCAGAGACCTTGTAAATTCAGCCGATCATGAGCTTACCAAGTGGCGAGTGGTTGCAAAAGTGTAACAACTTTGGTCAATCAGAGGCTCATCCAAATACGCTTGAGTGAAAATAGCGTTTGTTGCATGGAGTTTTACATCCCCACTTGTACGCATTTGCGGGAGAAGGTGCGGAGCTGCGAGATATAAATTACATTTTCCACATGTTTCACTGTGCGCAGAAATTTGCATTTTAAAATGTAAGATGATTTTAATGACTTAATTTGTGGAAAATTTTGATTTTGATTGTTCAAGCTGCACAGTGTTGAATTCGCTGTATTTTAGGCGATTTCGAGTTAAAGTGAAACAGTTTTGGATGCCTTCAACGTTTGTGAGATGTCAAGAGGAAATAAATCGAATTCATTCAATGATTAAAGGAAGACTTAAACAAACCAAAAAATTTCAGTTATTATACAGTCTTTTGCTTGTGCTTCGTGGCGTATTTGCGTCGGCGGGAAAGAGCAGACTCGAATGGCACACACTTTAATGACGCCTCCACGTTGTTTGACACATCAACTAAAATCCACTTTTACTGACATCAAAATTATGCTCACTTGTTAAAACATTACACCATGCTTGATTGCTATGACATTTAAAAAACTCATTTGGAAACAAATTTGTGATCATGCAGGAGGTGGGAAGCGGCTGATAACGAAGAATCGGTCCAAATCATTTTCATGTGGGTGCTCTTTGTGAGGTGTTTGTTGGCTTCTGGACTTCTCTTTTGGTCACACAACAACAATCAAATTTAAGTAAGTGAATTCGATCTGACAAGATTTCACTGGCTGTTAAAAAAGGCCATCATTTCCACTTCTTTAATAACTAAATAAATATTCCAAAAGGCAAAGTTCTTATTTCCCAAAAAACCTTTTCGTCCCAAACATCAAACGCATGTTTCTGTGTATGAGATTTATGAACAAAGAAGAAGTTACCTAAACGCTTCTACAGCACTTCTGCAAGTGGCGGTCACTTTGATTCGGCCGGGTAAACCGGTCCCTCTCGGCCACGTCGAAACCGCATTTCTTCCCTTTCTGTCCGGATAAAAGTATTCAAACATGCCTATTGCTTTCTCCTACCCAATGAAAAGTCCGAAGAAGCTACAACTTCCCCTCCCTAACACTGGGATTTCAATGCAACCGTGAGTTGAGCCTCCTTAGTTCCACCACTTCATTTACATCAAAAAGAAGTGCTCTTGGCACTAAAATGGTGCCATTAGGGCTTGGCGAATTGCGCCTTGACAATCGAGACGGAGTTACGTAAGAACATTCCCGCATAGCCTTGACAAAGAACAACTTAATTTTAACCCCAGTAATTATGAAAAAATTTAACAAAGAAAAAATAGACATTGTTTGTGCTTAAAGCAAAATCTACATCCACTTGTCAGGTATCTCAAAGCACTCTCACAAATATTAACGTGGAGACGAACAATGGGTGTGAGGTGTGATTTTTCATGCCCCACCCTGCCGCCCGATTGTGGAATGCACGCGCCTCGAGCGGCACCTCCTTCGGCACGCACTCATCGACTGCCATCCACAAGGGCACTTGAGGAACCCTCATGCCCTGCTGGCAGGCCTCTAATTAATTGCCACCCTTTAAGCCACTTCTAAAGCGTTCTTTTTGCTGCTTGTCGTCTCCAGTGCCTTCTCACTCAAATCCAATCTTATCACCCCACTTGGTGGCACTCCTTTTTACACAATGATGCAATAACTGGTGTTTCTGCATTGTATTTTGTAAATTTGTTTCTTTTTACTATCGTAAAGTTGATTTACGAAAGTAATGCGAAACAAATGAAGACGCTTCGGACCAAGGACGCATTGGAGTGGACGGAATGACTTCTATGGACTCACCATTGTGTAAAAACAGAATGTTTGCCACAAGTTCTTTTTTAATGGAATGCGTTTTAAATGTAAGAGGCTGAAAAAAGAAATATGTCTACTTGCAAGTTAAAAAAACTGGGATAAAACAGAGCTACAAAGCAGTAACAATTCTTTGCTTTGCTTGTGATTACTGCTTCTGCAGAAAGGTATTTAAAGGATGGAAAATTTTCTTAATAAAGTAGTAAATGTTGCTTGATTCGCCTCGGTGTGCAAAACTGTGGTCGAATACAAAACTATTTTAAAGGTCTCACGATGACAACTGAGGTAATGCACTTTACTTCGAAGGAATTT